GTAAATCAAATCACAAAAATAAATTAAGGGTTTGTTTAGGGCAGTTGTAGCTTATTGAATAATCTGCTGACAAGCTCATTAAAAATAATATGATGATAAGTTAGGTGCGGTGGGTACTACAAATTTTTATTTTTTTGAAAAAAACAAACCGCATCCAGAAAGCTGCTACCGCACCTGTATACCTAGACAGGTGCGGTGTGAAAATGTTGTTTTTAGCGTTTTGAAAACGAACAAGCTGTCAAAATGCAGTTTACCCAAACAGGTCAGGTGCGTTTTCAAAATGTCACCGCACTAAATAACCTGCCCCAAACAGATCCTAAATTTCTCATATGCGGTCTGTTGATGCATGTACATCCATATAAATATTTTATGAATTTTCCTAATAATTATTATTCAAAAAATAAATTAAATATATTAATAATAATTAACCTTGATAATAAATAAAAAATAATAAGTAAATGATGGACGGCGTCCTTTCTATTGTCGTGACTATGTTTTATTTGGATTGCTTAACCTAAACTGCAGTTCATTTATTTAGGGTGTTATAGTCGGCTAATTTGCCTTAAAATTAGCTTTGGCTAAGGCAAAGTTGCCTTATAATTGGCAAATTTGGCTTTAAGTTACCCGTGAATAGAAATGATACTCCACCAACAAATTTTTATTATCCGACACAAATCTCGAGACATGACATGAATTTCTAAATGATATTTTAAGCAGAAAACATTCAAATCTTGATAAAAAGTCATCCAGAACTCTGATTTCACAAACTTATAGTCAAACTGACCGGCTTGATGAGACGAGCTCAAGCTCGAGACTTGTCTCTCGGGAGGTAAATGCTTTAGTTTTTACATATAGTCGGAATATTCTTACATAATATTTTTACGTATTTACATATCTAACTCAAACTTCAGTTTATATATATATATATATATATATATATGTTGTCTGTAAGGAAAGATTATCACGTCCGTCGCTCAAACGTCTAGCTGCGTTCGGGCGTCCGTTGGATAGGAACAAGAAGCTTCAAACAGGGATCGCCCAAGAACGACGCCGAATAAGAACAAGAAGCCGCTACGGGAATCGTCAACAAGAAAAAGCTTCTTCCCTTTGAACGTGATTCGCGCGAGAAAAAGCTTCTTCCCTTTGAACGCGATTCACACGTCGTCTTCCTTGCATGAAAGCTCTTCTAAAGAGCTGCAACGCCTTCCTCTTTGACTCCTTCGATCGCGGCTCGACAGCGGCGCCACCTGCGATTACCCTCTCTTCTACGCAGCTTCGCCCCGAGTCCGACTTGCGCCCCCGACCTCTTCTGTTCGACTTGTGGCTCTTCTGCTTGCTCTGACTTGCTGTGATGGAGCTTCCTCCTTCGATTGAACCCGACAAAACCTCTTTTGCCCGCGTTGTGGGTACTCCTCAGGGGGAGATGACGGTTGTCTTCCCCTCAAGTTATAAGGAGAATCGTGATGGTACAGACGACTGCCCCTTTATTAAGAATGCAAACATGAAGAGTGAGAATATAACATTTTTTTCTCTGATGTATAAATTTCAATCATGGCCGACAAATTCAAATTTGCTCTCATTGAAAATTTTCAGTGGGAACACCCAACTATGGAAGTTATTAGAAAAAGTTTTGATGACCTTAAATTAGCAGAAAAGTGGAAAGTGATGCTCATGGATGGGAGACATATATTGAGTTGAGTCATTTCAGTCCTCCTAGGGGTGTAAATGAATTGAGTCATTTCAGTCGAGCTTATTGAGCCACGAACTCCGACTTGTTAGTTGAGCTTATCGAGCCACAAGCTCAAGCTCATCCTGGCTTGGCTTCTTGGCTCAAGTTGGCTCAATTAGCATACCACTAATTTTGATGTATTTTCTAGTGAGTTTTCGCTACATCTTCTTCCTTCTCTGGGCACCAATACAATATCTGGTGAACTCCCATAAAAAAATAAATTTTTAGTTTGCGCTCGCTAGTCAACTGATACCACCACGAGTTGACAGGTCACAATTTGACAGACCAACCAAGCTCCAGCTTGGCATGGCTCGAGCTCTACTTGACTTATTTACACCTGCACTTCTTCCCTTACCTATCTGCTTTGCATTTTTTTTAATTGAACTACGTTCGTGTGTTGTGATTGAGAACATGTCAAAACTCTTTGGCAGTGTCCCCAACAAAGATCTGATTTGTTTTGCCTTCAGAAAACCAAAAGGATGAGATCGCCATGAGGGTGAAAGGAAGAAGAAAGTCGGCATGAAGAAGAGGAAAGTGGTTTCACTCCTACTGTCGAATCAGGTTGAATCATCTAATTCATTCTTCGATACTAAGCAAAATAGTATTCAATCGATTGACCTGACCTCCAATCCAACCTCCCAATCATTTGCTGCAGCGCAACACTCTTTGATTTCAGGTTGGCCCGGTCGCTCAAATGGCTTCTAGTGACCTCTCATCAAATTTAGCCATACACCATGGTGAAGGTACTACATCGATCACAATATTTGAGTGGAATCAGCTCCTATGTAACAGGGGCTTCAGTCTAGCTTGCGGTGTTTGATCTTTTTTCTATAGCCTTTTTATCTTACAATGTTCCTTGGCACATATGACGACCTGGCTTTAATGGTTCTAGATGATGATTGAGCTCTGAATGGCGTGGGTGAGAATCTGATGGGGGCGCTATTGACAAAAGATCGGATGCCGGGCCAACTCTCACATGAAAATGGCAGAGTTGATCATCCAGAAGATCCTCCCAAGGCATGTGGAGAAACTACTAATGGAATCGTAAATCTCCCGGATCATTGCCTCATCATTTAGATGAGATCAAGGTTTCCTTCACTCAGACAACAAAAATCATGTGGGGGCAAGGAGATGTGTAAGTTGCTGAAAAGTATGGAGAAGGTGGAGAGGATGGAAGAGGTGGCGTTGAATATTCATCGAGAATTTTCAAATGTTTGATAGAGATCCCTCATAATCCAGGCTCAAGTTAAGTCAGACCGACTGATTAATTTCAGCTAGGGGGGGGGTATAGGAGACTTCTTTGGTCGGGAAATGTCTCGGCCAAAGTGGTGACAATTCCCCTCGTTAAGTATTTTGTCCTTTACTATCTTTTGATTAATTCATTGTAAACTCATTGTAAACATAAAGTTGTTTTCATACTAAAGTCTATTTTATTATCTCACTTTCTATATTAATGTGATCCCACTATAGAAACGACCATATAATTCATTTTAACACCTACACGA